AATCGCCCTGGAAATTGGACTTTCGCCACTTCCGTTCGGCCCTCCGGCACTCTTGCTTCTGTGCCCTAACCGAGTCTGCCTTAGTCCATGGGGCCTTTTTCTTACTGGTAACTATTTTAACCGTCACAGGAGCAATGGCGTCCAGAACAGTCAGAACACTGGTGGTGACAGAGTTATACAATTCATCAACAGTAGAGCATGGAGTTTTCTCAAAATTTAGCATTCCCATGAACAGTTCACTTGTGTTTTCATGTATGTGTCTTCTTCTAACAGTTGTAAATTCAGCTGGTGGTTTGCTAGCAAAACACATGTCAAAAAATACACAGAAATGATCTGACAAAGCAACATCAACTACATTAACATTTGATACATTAACCCCCTTTGTAATTAGCAGGTCAAGAGTGTGCCCCCTGCTGTGGGTGGGGCCACTCACGTGCTGAATGAAACCAAAGGTCTCAAATACAGAAGCCAGCTCCTTTGCATTTCTGTCATCAACATTATCAACATGTACATTAAAATCACCTGTAATAACTAAACTATCAAAATCTGTGCACACGAATGAAAGTAGTTCAGTAAAATGGTCAATAAAATCGCAACATGACTGTGGTGGCCTGTACAGGACAATGAAAAGAGTAGAAGATTGCTTTTGTTCCATTTTAAAAGAAATATACTCAAACGATGAAAAATTTCCAAGGGGCATTCTATGGGAGACAAAGTGCTCTCTAAAAACTGCAGCTATGCCTCCCCCCCTTTTGTTTTCTCGTATTTCGGATTCGAATTTAAAATTGGGTGGTGTTGCTTCTATTAGAACTGCATTTCCTGTATTTTGGTCCAGCCATGTTTCAGCCATAAGCATAAAATCAAGATCATAAGAAGTGATAAAATTATTAATTAAAAATGATTTGTTACATAGAGATCTGACATTAAGCATAGCAAGTTTAAAAATAACGTCAGAGTCGATTAATGTGGTTGATTGATTTCTACAGGGAACAGAAATTAGATTTGCAGAGTTGGACCGTCTAACTGCTGTCCTGTTTTGATTTCGTTTTTTAGAATTTAAAAACATTTTTGAGCTGGTGCGAGGAACACACACAGTCTCAATTGGCCTAAAATGTGAAAACCCTTGTTGTTCTTTAGCTCCCAGAGTCAGAAGGGAGTCAGCACAGTTCAGTGTTTGGACTGGTAATGCACTGCCAGACGGACAGGGAGCAGTGTTTGCACCGTTGTACTCACCCGGTGCTGGTGAGCAGGAGGCGGGGGAGTGCGGTGGGGTCCGAGGGGGCTCAGATGTAAACAGTCACGCCCCCCTCGGGGAACGCTGAACAACATAACGTATGTAATCCATCAACAGGCTGCTACCGTATCTGTTTGGGTGTAATCCGTCTGGACGATAGGCTTCGTAACGTTTCCAGAAAAGGGCAAAGTTATTCACAAAGACAAAGTTAAAAGAGCTGCATGTAGCCTGAAGCCACACATGCAGCGCCACAACACGACTGTAGAGGCAGTCACCTCTGTTTACAGTCTGGATTGGACCAGAAATAAAAACAGATAATCCGGAGGATTGAAGGAGGTGGAACAGATCCATAAAATGTTTCTTCGTGACTTCTGACTGCTGAAGTTTCATGTCGTTAATTCCCACATGCAAGACTACCTTGGAAACGGTATCAGGCAGGGACTGAAGCAGAGGAGGGAGACGTATGAGCAGGTCTGGTACAGTAGCTCCGGGAATACAGCGAGTGACCGCGTTGAAGAAGCGGACGTGTCTCACGATGGAATCTCCAATAATCAGAGTGGTCGGGGCGAAGAGTGGCCTCGGAGAAGGAGCTCGGTGGACGGAACCAGCGGGTTCACCCGAAGCAGGACCCGAGCCTGAGCGCCGCTGAACACATGGAGAGGAGGAGCGGGGGTGCTGACTCTCAGCTACAGGCGACCCACGCTGTGTGCTCGGGGACGCTGGAGCGGTGAGAGGGGCTGGCTCTGGGCGCTGCTGCTGACCCGGTGGAGGTGAGCGGTGGTAATGATGGCTCGCTACCCCAGTCTGAGGCTGCTGCACTGGGGTCAACATGGCCGGTGGACCGCTCTTTCGCCTGAGGACTGCTTCCTTTAGGAGCGTTTAACTCGCAGTGGACTTGGATCCTCGAGCAGTAGAGTACGCTGCAGTGTCCAGAGGTTCTGCTGAGGGGGCCGGGATGTCGGTGGAGAGGGCTGCATAGCGGTTTGCCAGACTCAGGACATGGGCCACGGCGCAGGATGGCTCCTCGGAATCCGCGGGCTCGTTATTCGTAAGCGGGCGCTTAGGTGTAGAACAGGAGGGTCCGGAGCTGACGGATCTCTCCCACACGACAGTGTCACAATATGCAGCGCTCAGTGACATCAGCCGTGAATGCTGCCCACCAGCGACTTCAAAAAGTTTGGACACTAGAGATTGTTTCTCATTCAACTCTGCGGTGAGACGAAGGACTTCTTTTCGTAGTTCTGCAATGGTGGCACGGTCGCTCTCACGGAGCTCCAAGGTGAGGCGACTAATATTGTGCATGTTTGAGCCAATTTCATTGTCACTTTCCATGTCCTCGTTAGCTTGTGTTAGCCTCTGTGCTACTAGTGGGTTTCAGTCGGGACTAAGTGCTATTTGCTGAAACCACTGAATTAAAAAGATAAAACACTCAGATATATTAAAAAACTGAACAATAAAAACGCGCTAAAAAGTTGTTAAAAGTTTACTAAAAAGGTGCACAGAGCAGCCCTGCAACAAATATAGTTTAAAAACTCTAAGTCCAGTGTGTCGTGGTAAGCTTCTCACAGCTACACTTCTTACCCACAGAAGCACACAGGTACTTCATGAAAAGTTAAAAATAGTAATAATCCGCAACAGCCCGTCAGGTCACAGCAGCAGAGGTGGAGCAGCCGCTGGGTGGAGCAGCCTCTGGGTGGAGCAGCCTCTGGGTGGAGCAGGACAGGTCACAGCAGCAGAGGTGGAGCAGCCTCTGGGTGGAGCAGCCTCTGGGTGGAGCAGCCTCTGGGTTTAGCAGGACAGGTCACAGCAGCAGAGGTGGAGCAGCCTCTGGGTGGAGCAGCCTCTGGGTGGAGCAGGACGGGTCAAAGCAGCAGTTTCACTGGAGTTCAGCAGCGGTTTACACGAGTTTCCCAGATAATGCTCAAACAAGAATTAAACTGTGAGGATACTGGGCATTTTTGGGACACAGTAGTGCTCTTTGATTGTGCTGTCATTGTGTTTTTATAAAGTTTACAAATCCCTCTGAGTGGCCACAGACAAAGCTCTACCTCAGAGAGAAAGTAAAGCGACACTTTCGGGTCAGTCTCAGAGCTGAACGTATCAATCTAATTACTGAAAAACGTCACTAAAACTCACCTAAATGCCATAGAATAGCGAGGTCAGAAAGTGAACGGGCTGATCTTTGTTAACAGGAAGTGACGTCACGCCTCCCAATGCAAATAGCCCATTGACCTGAGATAACACAAATATCAGCCTCAGTACTCATCTTTTTAATTAATCGCTGTTTAAAAACAGCCCTTGTACTAAGCCATTGAATGTATTGCCATTTTCAAAGTGTGTCTATTACAGCAGATCATTCTGTTCTAAAGTCGGCATATCAAAGCCTGGGACTATAAGATGTGCACCGATGGTTCTCTTTGGACCTGGTGTTGGTGGAGAACCTGGATCACCTGACCCGATTCTGCTCAGGGTTTCGTTAGTAAGAGCAGCTTTTTCACTGTAATCTATTCAAAGTCAAGGGCTGACTTTGAAGAGATGTTTTGTATTTAAATGTACTGTAGTAGACCCATTGGTCCAAACCAAATCTGTCCTAAAGGAGACAAAAATAAACAATCTTGATCAAAGCTTTTTTGTCGGCCGGCCTCCAGGTCCTGTCTTCCTTCTGGGAGTCTACAGTCCAAAAGCAGCGCAGAGGAGGAGAGCTGTGGACTCAGTCAGGCTGCTGCTGCTGGGTCCACTTCAAAGAATACACCTAATAGAAAAAAAATATTCTAAGCGTAGACATCATTGGACCTTGCACACTCTTAGTCTGCACGTAGTCGCAGGGTTCGAGCAGCAGCGTAGAGGCTTAAAGGAGGGTACCCAGGTCCCAATGGTGCAAGGGTTGTGTGTGGACAATGCCTAACCCGAAGCCTTGGTCCAGGACAGGATCAGGACAGGACCAGGACAGGATCAGGACAGGATCAGGACAGGATCAGGACTGGATCAGGACTAGATCAGGACAGGATCAGGACAGGATCAGGACAGGATCAGGACAGGATCAGGACTAGATCAGGACAGGGTCAGGACTGGATCAGGACTGGATCAAGACTGGATCAGGACTAGATCAGGACAGGATCAGGACAGGATCAGGACAGGATCAGGACTGGATCAGGACTGGATCAAGACTGGATCAGGACTAGATCAGGACTGGATCAAGACTGGATCAGGACTAGATCAGGACTGGATCAGGACTGGATTAGGACTGGATCAGGACTGGATCAGGACTGGATCAGGACTGGATCAGGACAGGATCAGGACAGGATCAGGACAGGATCAGGACAGGATCAGGACTGGATCAGGACTGGATCAGGACTAGATCAGGACTGGATCAGGACTGGATTAGGACTGGATCAGGACTGGATCAGGACTGGATCAGGACTGGATCAGGACTGAGGTCAGTTTTGGATTCAGCAAAACGTCACCTTGTTCAAACATCTTTATTTTTGCTACATTTCATTTACAACATATTTACATATGCACATGAAGTGACACTGGTGGGGGCCACACTTTCAAAATAAAAAACAAAACATTGCACCTTTGAGTGAGACACAAGGGTTAGGGGTGAGTGTAACCTAAAGCATTTACCCTGACTGCTCCGTCACATGACTTATCCATCACATGACAGATCAGTCATGTGACGTCATCCTAGTGTAATAAGCTCCAAACAATGATATTTAAGTGATTGGCCGGTTGGTGAGGGCCGATGGTCAGAGGCTGTGATTGGTCAGAGGTGCTGCCAGTCAATAGCCGCCAGCGTCTGATTAGCTTCCTGAGCGTGGGCGATGACCTCGGCCAGGGCATGCTGTCGCCACAGACGTTGGATCTTCAAATATCGACCAGAACACAGTCTGAGGGGGTTCCCCCGCCTAAGAGAGAGGTCAGAGGTCAGAGCTAAAGTCTTGACAGTGTAACCTTAATCTAATGGTCACTGTGACCGAGCTGCAGCATCTGAGGGAGAACCTTCCAGAATAGCATCAGTTCAAAACCAAGGGTCATGTACACCAACTCCAAGTGTCCAAGTGGGCCGTCATGTTTGTGAAGATTGACCTTCTGGAAGGTTCTATCCTCAGAGTGAGGCTGAAAGTTAGTCATTGCAAATACAGCAATGACAATGAATCAAGCTCCTATCTGTAATTCTTACTTCAGACCCTGGTCAGTCTCGCCGTAGTCGTCCAGATACGGAGGTGGATAGAAACAGCCTCTGGTTTTTCCTGCCACAAACAGCACCTGGCACTCTCTCACCCTGAGGAGGACAGAGACCAGAGTGAGAGACCAGAGAGAGAGACCAGAGAGAGAGACCAGAGAGAGACCAGAGTGAGAGACCAGAGTGAGAGACCAGAGTGACAGAGATCAAAAGAATATAAAAAAGTGGTAGTGATTAGATTTACGAAGCCGCCTTTGTAAATCTAATCACTACCACTTTTTTCCGTACAGTTGGTATAGTTGTATATTGTGTATCCTCCCCGCAGGTGAGTGAAACCCCGCCCACTCACCTGAAGAATAGCCCCGCCCCTTCTCCACAGGTCAGGGCGTGGTAAGTACAGGCACCAAGGTCGTCGCCATCAACAACAGTCTGACAACAGTATGACTGCGAACAGAGAAGAGTCCCACAGACTAGACAGAGAGTGGGAGCACGCGCCTGGTCCATGGAGAGGCGAGGGCACCTGTGGACACACACACACACACATAACTGACAGGCTTGGTCCATGGAGACGCAAGAGGACCAGAGAACACATGTTTTCTTACGTGAACGTGGAGGCGCGGTTGATCAGGTCGCTGTAATCTTCAGGTAAATCCACCAAACTGTTTGACTCTCGTGGAAACTGGACCAGAACTGAACCAGGACCAGACCTGGATTCTGAGAGACGCTGGAGCACCCGGGGGTCTGAGCACCAACTGGAAACACCCAATTACACTGCAGAGTTAGTGTCTGGTATTAGTCTAGTCTGGTCTTAGTCCATGTCTGGTCTGAGGCTTGTCTTAGTCCATGTCTGGTCTGAGTCTTACCTGTGTATGAGTGAGTCCAGGTGGTGGTGGTGGTGAGAGTACAGCAGCAGGATATTTGAGGGAATACTGAGGTAAGAGCAGAGCGCCGCCCACTGATCACCGTCTGACACTGCAGCAGAAACCACAGATAAATACAGCAAAACTGGTGAGACTCTGGGGGCTCATGGTGAGACTCACAGAGAAGAGCTGCAGGGGGAGTTGTTGAATTCATGTAGTGAAAGAACATAGCGCAGCACCGAAGAAAGGGCAGAAGAGCTGCTTTCACACGACGCCACAAGTGCCACCCAGAGGCCACTGCTGGAAGTGCACTGCAGACACAAGAGAGACTGCTGTTAGCATTAGCCCTGTCCAATTGACACATAGCATATAGATTAGCCATATAGTATGAAACTGTTAGCAGCATTAGCCCATACCGGCTCATGTGACAGATAGCAGTTATCATTGTCCAACATAATTAATATTATCAATAAATATCAAATCAATCTTTTTTTTTTTTTACTATATAGCCCTACATCACAATTGCAGGTATCTGAGGACTTTACAAGGTTGTCAATTCGCCAACACAGATCAGAGAATTGAATTCAAACTTAGAGGGCTATAGATCCAAGATCCACAATCCACTGTGAACCTTTGTTAGCACCATTAGCATTAGCCCTTACCTGCCCATGTGACTCTGAAGGACCGTGTACAGCTCCAGTAGCAGGTGTTCCTCTGCTCCTGCCCCATCCTGCTCCATAGTGCCATCTTCTGGAGCAACAAAAACATGAATGAATCAGCGAGTGGCAATGAACAGCAAACCCTAAAGCTGTGTTCAGACCGCCGATGCATGGATGTGCGTTGATGGAGGCATGGACGCACTTTCACTAAATATCAGCTTCACGAGTTTAGTCAATCTGCCGTACTTTCCAGTGTTGGGGAAAAACGCAGGGCCGAAGTGAAGGGCGGGCTTTGATGCTAACGCTAGTACTTCTGCATCGGCGAACACGTTAGCAGCACTTGTTTACAGTCGCAGTAGAATCTCAACACAGGGTGAAGACATATGTTCACATGCGCCGCGTCCCCCATTGTCAGCCCTGGTGTATTTCTGGTTTAGCTCGTGTTTTGGTTGTTTTCGAGTGTGTGTTTGGACCGATGAGAGTCCCTGTGACCACTTTCCTGCTCTCTGATTGGTTGCCGCACGTGTGTGGAGCAAGGATGTTCACCATTGACTTTGCTTTAAACTCACCGCAATGCATGATCCGGTCTGAACACAGCTTAACACAGGAGTGAGACAGGGGTGAACCCAAACCCAAACATCAAAAGTTATGTGCGGCACGGTGGCTGAGTGGATAGCACTCTCGCTTCTCAGCAAGAAGGTTTAAGGTTCGAACCCTGGTCGGAGGGGTGTTTGTATGTTCTGCCCATGTCAGTGTAGGTTTCCTCCAGGTGCTTCGGTTTCCCCTATCACTAAAAGCATGTACAATAGGTCTGGCATGCAAATCCTGTACTTGCGACCCAAGCCCGGTGATCCAAGATGGCGCCCTATTCAAATGAATGGCTTGTGCTCAGTAGCGCATGGGACTTCACGGAGACCGGGAGATTAGCAGAACTCGCCTATATTTGGGCATCGTCTGTTCCTCCCGGTTCTGCGCAGTGGACGAGCTCCCATGATACGTTGCGCCAAATACGCGTGTGTGGCTCTCATGCACGTGCACAGAGAGGCTCGGCCGCGCTCTGACCAATCAGAGCGGCTGATCAGAGCAGCGGTAGAGCGGAGTCAGAGCGGGAAGGAAAGCAGCAGAGTTTGTGGCAGTAAAGTGTGGATTTAAAAAAAACTGAAGGATTTAAGAAGAAAAAAAATTCAGGACTACAACGGACACTAAAATCCCCACAAAATCCGACCTTTATAATTTACATTGAGTTCTATGGGACTTTTTTCTGGGCAGCCCGCGTGAATTTAGTCTGCAGTACCACGGGCGCCCGCTGTGCCCATGGGTGGGACAGCTATAAGCTAGTAATACCCTATCCAGTCATTATTATAGATCCATGTTGCGACCCCACTCCCATCTCTGTGTGGAGTGAGAGACAAATCGAAAAGCGCTTTGTGAGTTTGGGAAAGGCGCTATATAAATAAACTAGTGCTGTCCAACGATTAAAATATTTAATCGCGATTAATCGCATGAATTTCATAGTTAACTCGCGATTAATCGCAAATTAGTCACACATTTGCGTGCTGTGTGCAATTGCTTTTTTTATTGAAAACAATGTGTAGTGTTATATTACACACTAACATTTGATGCAAAATCATCAATAAATGGATGACAAAATAAATAATTGGTAACAAAAAGCCCCTTCAATGTGTGTGTGTGGGTGTGTGTGTGTATGTGTGGGTATAGACCATAGACTGTATAGAAACATCATGGTGTCATTATGATGATGATTAACAATCTGTAAATATTTTGTAAATTTGTTCATGTAAATACTCTATGCTGTTTCTCTGTTTACCTTCGGTATATCTATGACTGTATACTGTTTGCTTGTATTGCCTTTTTTATTAACCCCTCCCCCCATCTCCCACTTCATACACTACTTTTTTTTTTTTTTTATTATCGCGCGATAAAAAAAATGACGCCGTTAATATTGATTTGCGTTAACGCGTTAATAACGCGCTATTTTGGACAGCCCTAAAATAAACATTACTTAGAGTGAGCTTGCTGAGAGAGCCTAACCCTTGCTTTCGCTCCATATTTACCTTTCTGTTAGCATTAGCTCCATAGTTACCTTTCTCTGTTAGCGTTAGCAACACCTGCACCAGGTGAGCCACTGTCACCAGGTGTAACAGGTTCAGGTGGGCGGAGTCTGATGAGCTACGTCCTGTTTGGTCCAGAGCCTGAACAGTGCAGTGGGAGAGGGCACAGTAAACCTGAGGAAAAAACAGAATGGGTCAAAGGTCACACACACAGTACATCACCATAATACAGACTGTTACAGTATACATTACACAGACTGTTACAGTAAACAGACTTACAGTATACATTATACAGACTGTTACAGTATACATTACACAGACTGTTACAGTATACAGACTGTTATAGTATACATTATACAGACTGTTACCGTATACATTATACAGACTGTTACAGTATACAGACTGTTACAGTATACATTATACAGACTGTTACCGTATACATTATACAGACTGTTACAGTATACATTATACAGACTGTTACAGTATACAGACTGTTACCGTATACATTATACAGACTGTTACCGTATACATTATACAGACTGTTACAGTATACATTATACAGACTGTTACCGTATACATTATACAGACTGTTACAGTATACATTATACAGACTGTTACAGTATACAGACTGTTACCGTATACATTATACAGACTGTTACAGTATACATTATACAGACTGTTACAGTATACAGACTGTTACAGTATACATTATACAGACTGTTACAGTATACATTACACAGACTGTTACAGTATACATTATACAGATTGTTACAGTATATATGATTACAGTACACATTGCATAAAGGGGACGGTCACTCGCAGTGATATACACTCACTAGAAGGTGGAACATGTCCAGGTCCAGGAGACAGGGTGCATCATGGGACGCAGAAAACACTGAAACACACAGATGCCCTCCCTTCAGTTCTACTGCTTTTCTCAGGGTCATGACCTCAGACCTATTAAATTACCCCATCTGACAACCAGACTTTCTGTTCTGTTCAATGGTCCTGGTCTGGTTTCAGGTCCTAGTACTCGTCCTGGTCTGGTTTCAGGTCCAGGTCCTGGTCTGGTTTCAGGTCCTGGTTCAGATCATGGTCTGGTTTTGGGTCCGGTCTTGGTCCTGGTCTGGGTCTCATCTTGGGTCCAAACCTGAGAAGAGGCGGCTGAAGTGTTGCTGAGCAGTTGTGGGCGGAGCTACAGTCCAACAGTGAGAAGTAAACCTGCAGAGGGCGCTCAAACACTCCTCCTGAAACACAAAGATAATTGTGTTATATAGATATCAGTGTGTAACTAACACTAGGGGGCACTCACACAGTCCTATAACCCTAACACTAGGGGGCACTGACACAGTCCTATAACCCTAACACTAGGGGGCACTGACACAGTCCTATAACCCTAACACTAGGGGGCACTGACACAGTCCTATAACCCTAACACTAGGGGGCACCCACACAGTCCTATAACCCTAACACTAGGGGGCACCCACACAGTCCTATAACCCTAACACTAGGGGGCACTCACAGACACATAAGGTCCTCCTCATCACCTACGAGTTCTTTGTGCAGAAACTTAGAAAATGTACCTCAACCTCTAAGATTCTGGTTAATGTTCAACAACAGTTTGCTTGTTGGTTCTGCGACAGTGTGGTTTGGCAACATCACAGCCAAAGAAGTGTGAGCTGTGAGCTGCCCGTTTGAGGCTACAAGACTCTTAAATTATTCCAATGTGGTTTTACTACATAAGGCAATGAGACAATTTAGTTTAATTGCAGTTTTCCTTGAAGCTCTTTAAAAAAAATCAATGACTGTTGACCCTGGAAAAGCAATGTTCCAGCTTCTTTCTGGCAGAAGATAATGTTCGCTGAGATGCAGGACATCTCTAAATGCTAAAAGCTTCTTTCCACAAGCTGTTACCAGTTTGAACCTATCCCTTCAATACACTGTACTACTCTACAATGCATCATGTTGTTTTTCAAGATTGAAATGTTGTATGTCTGATTTGTTATTGGAATATTAAAAAAGAAAGTTGGAATAAAGCACTTCAATGATCTTGCACGTATTATTTCAACTTTTAATTGTTTCTTGTACTTTGTAGCTCATCGTTTATTCATGTATGTGTCTGGTGTGCACTGGGGTACCTTTGCACACATGTTTCCATGTTGCTTTACTGTTAATGCCAAATAAAGTGAATCTAAATCTGAGGTTCCTTCATAACCTGGCCCCATCATACTGAGCCTTCTGAACCCTGCCGACCGAGCCCGTCAGTTGCTGCGGTTCTGGACAATGGTTCATTTTCTCTCCTTAGTCCTAAGGGATGCAGGGCTCGGGTCTGCCCCGGTCTCCCCCTCCAAACTCTCCCACTTGTCCCCTCCACACTCTTCCCTGCTCACCTGGCGACAGGGTAAACTTCCAAACAGTGGTTTGTCATCATCCCACAGTAGACGCTCTGAAGAGAGAAACATTATAAATAATATTATCAGACCAGGTCTAAACCAGATCTGAATTAACCCTTTTAGGCTGGGAACGCATTCCTGCACTTGAACAATTAATGCATCAGGGTATACCAGGGATGAGAATTTTCTGCAGATCAACAAATTCCGACTATTTCCCGCTGAAAATGTCCTTTTTGTGAAATGTGTGACCGTGGGCTGTTGTTTGCGTTATATACTCGAACGGGACTCCAGATCCTCAGTTCTGACCGTCGTAATGGGGTCATGTAGCAAGGGCAGACCATAGATGCGCGGACAGAACAATAAACGCATGTACAGGACCATCCCCAGCTTGTTGCAGGTGCAGGGCTTGCCTGTCTTCCCCATGTCTCCACCATGTCTCTTCCAGAAGCCCACCAAAACTCACTGAATTAAAGTTGAGGTACCAAAATGTTTCGCTTGCATAAACAATGCATGTTGTGCACAAAAGTTAAATGTTGTTATTGATAAACATTAGTTTGTCTCACATTATTTTTGGTTGTTTTATTATGTTTCCTGTGTGGAAGCTGCATAATTTTTGCATTATTCTACTGAAGGTTTATAACAATACTCTCAAGAATATTTTTATTGAAAACCACAGGTGTCAGCTTAATTTCTTTTGGAATTATGTTTCCATCTGCTACAGAGGCCGAGATAATCATTTAGTAGATGTTGAATTTCAGTAAAACTTTTTGAGATTCTAGAGTCGACCATAGCTTTTACAAGTATGTTTTACCAGGTGTGTCAGGTCTAAATGGGTTAACCAAAACAAGTCTAAACCAGGACTAAAGTAGGACTAAAGCAAGTCTAAAGCAGGACTAAAGTAGGACTAAAGTGGGTCTGGGTCAAGGTCATGGTCAGAGTTACCTGTGGCCTGGATAGTGAAGGCGCAGGTGGACCAGCTCACAGGACATAGTCTTGGATCCGTCTCATTTGGGTTTGTTTTTAAAGCCACTTTGTAAACTGCCAAACTGAAGAGTGACATCATCTGTGAGAGAGGAGAGGGGAGGGGTCTGGGGGAGGGGAGGGGAGAAAGAGGGGAGGCAGAAGGAGAGAAAGAGGGGGAGGCAGAAAGAGACAGAGCGGGTGACCAGGGGGCAGAGGGCGGTGAGTCACTCTGTTACAATTTTCTTACAGAACATTTTTCTCCTGTCAAACAATTAAAATATTAATCGCAATTAATCAAAAAAAAAAAAAAAAACAACACAGAACTATTCAATATAAGTTAAATTACTTGAATTTTCCAATAAAGGCTACTCTTTTGTTGCCTGACAAACTGAATGAAGGTGGGTTTTTAATTAGTGTTTCAATGTTTGTTTGTTTTTTTCACCCAAACATTGAAGCTATAGTTGTGATTATTGACGGACGTAATGGACGTAAGTGAGTAGTCAGCACAGCAGTGAGCGTGACTACTTTCGTTTTCTCACCTGCTGTTCCTTACATACCCTACACAAGCCCGGTGACAAGCCATGTACAGTGTATATTAGCCAAATAGTGACCTTGTTATTTGTGCGATTAACACAGTTACTAACTGACAGCACTAGTTTTTACAGATACTTGTAAAATGTTTTCTATGCGTTTGTTGTCCTGGTCTCTTTAGTAAAATGTGTGTGTTATATCGAGCATCATTTGCTCGTCATTTCCTTGTTATTTTGACTTGACGCTGCATCACACGGAGAAAATGCCTGTGTGTGTGTGGTGTTTGTGTGTGTTGCTGTGTGTCTTGAAAAACAAAATATCAAGCTAACGCATTATTATAACTATTGCTATATGGACTCACTCAGGGACAAAGTCCTGGTTAAATCCTTCAGGCACAGGAGTCTCCGCCCCCCGGGTCTCTGCAGTCTCCGCCCCCCGGGTCTCTGCAGTCTCCGTCCCCTGAGTGACTGCAGGCTCCGCCCCCAGGGTGACAGCATGCTCTGCCCCTTGACCTGTGGGTTAGAGCCATTAGCCGCGTTTCCACCGCAGGAACTTCGAGGTAATTTTCCAGGGCCAGCCCAGTCGGTACGTGTTTTCACTGCAGGAACTTTCCCCACAGGGCCCTTTACATAACTTTTACGGGGCCCAACGGAGTCCTTCTTCCATGCTAGGTACTCCGTTGGGCCTTGGTGGGACTTGAGTTAAACCCGCACTGATTGGCTACCTCCAAGAGTCTGTGCTTTATTGTGTTAGCTTAATGTCAACTTGGCGAAAATTTGGTGTAAATATGTGACGGAGAATGGGGATCAACTTTGTTCACAGGGATCTACCTTCTATCAGCGATTATGAAGATGTTTCTTTGCGAGTGACAGTGACACCACCAAAGACTGTTTCAGAACTACAGTTACCTTGGAACGGGACTTACTCGAAAGCTGATCTGGAGACCTGATGTTATTTCCTACATACAAAAACGCTAACAGGAGCCTCTGTGAGTACAATGCAACTAAATCGCTGTATGTCACTGTGAACTAAATAATTACGGTCTGATTAGAATTATGTAACAGCGAAAGCTGTACAGTTAGCTATTTTTTACCTCGAAGCATGATGCTATGTTTACAAAGTGTTGGATAGTCAGCATAATAAACAATAATAACATAATGCAAAGTCAAAATAATTAGATACATCAGGATGCAGGAAAACAAAGCAGACAGAGCAAAACACAAGAAGAGAGACACAACAAAGACAAAGCAGACATTAAAATACAGCATGTGAAGTTTAAAACTAGCAATTAAAAGCGGTTTTATAAAAGTCGGTTTTTAGAAGTGATTTAAAAGAGGATACTGATGGTGCTAGCCTAATCTCCTCGGGCAGGTCGTTCCAAAGCCGAGGAGCCCGGACAGAGAAGCCTCGACCTTGGAACAGTCAACAGGGACCTGCCCGAGGATCTAAGGCTGCAGGGGGGGCTCGTAGGGGGTTAAAAGTTCATAAATATAGCTGGGTACCAGACCTAAACGAGCTTTAAAAGTAATCAGTAAAATATTAAAATCAATTCTAAAACGCACAGGGAGCCAGTGGAGAGACGCTAAAACAGGGGTGATGTGCTCCCTTCTGTTAAAACCAGTGAGAAGTCTGGCTGCTGCGTTCTGAGGCGGGAGAGGGATTTGGAGTCGAGACCGGAGAGGAGGGAATTGCAGTAGTCGAGGCGGGAGAAGATGAGGGCGTTGACGACTTCAGATTCAGATTCCGGATTCAGATTCAAACTACTTTATGGAGATCGGGAGGTGTGAGAATGTTTTTAATCTTAGGAGATGGTGCGGAGGTGATAGAAGCAGGTTTGGGTGGTTTTTTTGATGTGGGAGTGGAAGGTGAGGTGAGAATCAAAAATGACAGGGAGTGATGTTTGAGGACAGGGGGCCGAGGTGGGTTTGGATGTGGGATATGGATGGAGGCGGGTTGATGAGGAGGACTTCTGATTTGGAGGTGTTGAGCTGTAAAAAGTTATGGGCCATCCAACGGTTCACATCATTAAAACAGTCGACCACAGCAGCCAGGCTTCCAGGGTCGTTTGGTCTCAGCGGGAGGTATATCTGTGTGTCGTCCGCATAGCAGTGGAAGGACACGTTATGACGGGGTATAACATGTCCCAGGGGGAGCATATAAATAGAGAATAAAATGGGACCTATAATAGAACCTTGCGGCACACCACAGGTAATGGGGGCTGTTGAGGAGGTAAAATCACCCATGGTGACCGCAAAGGTTCTGTCTAAAAGATAAGAATAAAACCAACCAAGTGCGGTATCTCTGATACCCACTCACAGTTTGAGGCGATCCAATAAAATCCTGTGGTCGATCGTGTCGAAGGCTGCGCTTAGGTCTAGAAGAATTAAAATAGAGTACCCTCCGCTGTCTGTGGTAAAAAGAAGGTCATTTAAAACTCTAAGGAGGGCTGTCTCAGTATTGTGTTGTGCTTTAAAACCGGATTGGAATTTCTCAAAGATGTGGTTCTCATTAATAAAATCTAAAATCTGTATTGAAACAATTTTCTCTAAAACTTTGGATAAAAAAGGAAGTTTTGAAATGGGTCTAAAATTGTTAAAATCAGTAGTGCTTAAATTAGGCTTCTTTAAAAGTGGCTGGACCACAGCATGTTTAAAACTGGATGGGACAAACCCTTGATCCAGGGACTGATTGATGATTGATAAAATGGAGGGTCAAACCACATTTAAAAAATCTTTGAGAAATTTGGTGGGGATGACATCGAGGCTGCACGTGGTTGCTTTCATGTGGAATAAAATATCAGATAAAAGAGAAAGGGATAAATAAGGGATAAATAATTAAAATCCAGAGTTTCTATGTTAATAAAAATTGCTTGGCTGGGAGCAGAGATTTGGGCCTGGATAGCTGTAATCTTGTTGATAAAATGGGGTTTGTAATGGAATTTAAAACTTGAAATAAAACTCCAGTATTTGAAATGTTTTGACTCATGGTATTTGAATAAAATAAGGTTGTTGCCTCCTTGACTACGTGTTGATACTGTTTGAGGCTGTCTTTCCAGGCGAGGTGAAATATTTTGAGGTAAGTCTTTTTTAAGGCAAGCTGGAGTTTGCCTTAAAACTCCAGCTTTGTCCTGTTCTGAGCGTCTTGTGTGCCAGTGATCACTTAGGTTCTCATTGATTGGTTGTAGTTCTGCAATATGCATCTCTAGCGTTCACCAGATGCCTCACCGTCCCTGCTGCATTGCAAAAGCACATCTGCCGTGTTGGACAAAAGTGAGTACTGCAATGTACATGTGAATATTTGCACCGACGTACATTCCATTGACTTTGTATGTAAACTCGCCTAGGCTAGGCTAAACTAAGGACAGGCTAAGATGAGGTTATTTTAAGCTAAGGTTATGTGTTAAAAAAGTGTAAAACAGTGCAACAGTCACTGACCTGAGCTCCATTTGTGCCGCAATAACTGTAGCTGTAGGGTGGTGGCGCTCACCCAGGTGTCCAGGTTCTGCTCCACACTGTACAGAACAGGGACAGGGGGTCAGGGTCAAAGTCCGGATTAGGGTCAGGGTGAAGGTCAGTGTCAGGGTGAGGGTTAGCTTTCCAAACATTGAAGATCTCAGAGCACTGTTCAACCAGTTATCTGGGAATGGCACCAATGCAAATTTACCAAGACGCGGCTGTCTTCCCAAACTCACACAAACAAGGAGAGCCGTGATCACAGATGCAGACAAGAAGCCAGACAAGAGGCCAGTGGTAACTCTGAAGGAGACGCGGACCTCCACAGGTCATCTGGGGGAATCTGTATATGGGACAGAGGCGTACTCTCCACAGATCTAATCTGTGAAGGCAAGTCGTACGCTTTGTTGTGACAAAATGCAGTCTGAATATTTTCTACACTGATCACAGTCAATACATTAAAAATCCTGTTTAATCTGGTTGTCACGTTAACAAACAGCGGTTTTAAGTAGCAGGTCCTAAGTAGCTCTGAAACAGTTGCTGCTTATCCACTGGAGGAATGCTAACTTTTTGAAAAATGCTAGCGAAGCATTTAGCATTTTACTTTGGACTAGAGCAGAGAAAATGGTCCGAACCAAGCGGCTGCTCCACCTTGTCACCTGTCCTGCTCCACCTTGTCACCTGTCCTGCTCCACCCAGAGGCTACTCCACCTCTGCTGCTGTGACCCGTCCTGCTCCAACCAGTGGCTACTCAATCTCTGCTGCTGTGACATGAACGGCTGTTGCTGATTATTACTATTGCTAGTGTGACGAAGTGAGTCTTGCAACTCCACTTGTCCCTTTGTGTACACCCTTGGTTCCACACACACATACAGATTCTCCCAAATGCACTCTCATATCCCCAGCCTTGTATGTGTGAGTTTGTCAGTTCCATAAACTCACTGATTCACATGCACAGATTCCATTTTACAGCATTTAACTTCATTAAAAACACCAAAACACTATTGTAAGCTTAAACCTGTTTATTTGTGTTTAAAAGGAAGAACTCTGCTTCTAACATACCTGCTCCATGCAGCACAAGATTAAAGGGGAGGGCCGCAGAGCATTTCCTGCTTTTAAACCCCATAGGAGCAAGCCCCGGTGATCCAAGATGGCGCCCTATTCAAATGAATGGCTTGTGCTCAGTAGCGCATGGGACTTCATGGAGACCGGGAGATTAGCTGAACTCGCCTATATTTGGGCATCGTCTGGTCCTCCCGGTTCTGCGCAGTGGATTATCTCCCATGATGCGTTGCGCTATCTCCCATGATGTGTCGCGCCAAACGTGCATGTGTGGCTTTCATGCACGCGCACAGAGGGGCTCGGCCGTGCTCTGACCAATCAGAGCTGTTCATCAGAGCAGCGGAAGAGCGGAGCCAGAGCGGGAAGGAAACGAGCAGAGTTTGTGGCAGTTAAGTGCGGATTTAAAGAAAACCGAAGGATTTAAGAAGAAAAAATTCAGGATGGCAAGGGACACTAAAATCCCCAAAAAATCCAATCTTTATGAAAGCTGTAGGCTCTCTGTCAGCTGAGGTTGTGCTGTTTTAATTTACATTTTCTGGGTAGCCCTCGTGAATTTAGTCTGTAGAACCACGGGCGCCCCCTGTGCCCATGGGTGAGACAGCTGTAAGCTAGTTAATACCCTGCTGCTTCCTGCTTCTCGAGAGAGCGGTCGTGTCTCTCTGCTCTGCTTTTGCTTTGCCTTTTAATCTCCCTGAATCTTTTTTCATTTACATTTTTTGTTTCTCCTTTAATCATTTTATTTACAAAACGAGGATTACTTCTTCTACACACTTCAGCTTTGTGGAATTTTCAACATTAGTCATGTCGGGACGGAAGAGACGGAGAAGCGTCTGCGGTGGCTGTTGTGCTTTGGAAAATCCAGCTTAAACATCTCTTCAAACACGGATATCTATTGTGGAAACAGAAATGGGACTTAACCCGACTCTTCCAATGAGTGAAAATGGGACGAATGGACAGACTGGAATGTAAGTTATGACGTCATTTCTTTTCCCAAAATCAACAATGAGAATTATTGGAACAATTGTGGAGCCAAACCCAAAGTTGACAAAGCTAAGAATGACAATAGGAGTGAAATAAGGCCACAACTAAATGTTCTGAAGACTTCAAACCGCTTTTTACCCCTTTCTGAAACAACAAAGCTGCTAAAAACTGCAGCGCCTCCACCAAGGACAAACTGTATCCTTATCGGAGATGGCTCGGTGAAAAAAATGTAAACATGGAGTCCCATGCTCACTGTCTCAGTTCACTCTGCTAAAGTTGCTGAGATAAGAACTCTTCTGCCTAGAGTGTTATCTGAGAACAGTGGTGTGCGTACATTATTGATCCACACGGGGGCGGTAGATATCTATGAGAAGGCAAGCGAGAAGTTACGAATGGATTTAACGCTGTTACTGGATGACCTCAAGAAAATGGACATAACAATTTTTCTTAGTGGCCCACTGCCAAATATAGATGGAAAAATGGAGAAGTTTAGCCGTCTGTATCAGCTAAATACATTTTCTACTCAATGAGTGTTCACGCAGAGGACTGGCTTCATTGAAAACTTTAATCTGTTCTGGAATAGGCACGAGCTTTTTAAAGAAAAAGGCCCACATCTGAACAACTACGGAGTAAAAAGTGCTGATGGATAACTTTGCATCTGCCCTAAGACCTCAGCCTGCGCAGCGCGTGCAGCCGTTGAAAGGGAGAAAGAAGAAGCAAAGGGCACAGACATCACGACCATCTCCACCGACTCCCGAGGTCTCTGCACCCCACCGCCTCAAAAGAACTCCACACCTCCACGATTCAAGAAGAACTCAACACCTCCAAGGTTCCAAAAGAACTCAACACCTCCAACGGCTTCGAAAGAGCTCAACGCCTCCACCCCCAGCATCATCAGCAGCTGCCACATCTTCATCAGCGCCATCAGCATATACAGCACCACCAGCAGCAGTGGATACAGCCGCAGCAGTGGCTGCTCCATCATCTTCAGCAGCAGCAGTGGCTGCTCCATCATCTTCAGCAGCAGCAGTGGATACAGCAGCAGCAGTGGCTGCTCCCATCATCTTCAGCAGCAGCAGTGGATACAGCCGCAGCAGTGGCTGCTCCATCATCTTCACAGCAGCAGTGGCTGCTCCATCATCTTCAGCAGCAGCAGTGGCTGCTCCATCATCTTCAGCAGCAGCAGTGGATACAGCAGCAGCAGTGGCTGCTCCATCATCTTCAGCAGCAGCAGTGGCTGCTCCATCATCTTCAGCAGCAGCAGTGGATTACAGCAGCAGCTAGTGGCTGCTCATCAACCTCAGGCAGCACCTTCCACCCACCTACTCAGCTCCCGTGAAAGCATTCCCCCATACTACCCAGGCCAATACAGCCAAGGCCTGTACTGGGGAATTTCCCTCAACCACCTCTGCATCTCCACCAAAGAACGCCCTACATACACCTCTCCATGAACCCGCTTTGGAGAGGTCCCTTCCAACCTCTCACCATTCTGTGCTTGCTTAACAATCACACTCCATCGAAGAGGGAAAATGAGACGACCTTTTCCCTTGTTTTCTATCCCCGCCTTCACTACTGGATTTACCGACAACACCTGGCAGCCTGCTGTACTATTCGGCTCGATCAGAAGACTAGTTCCTCCACACCCACACTGTCCAGATCAAGACGTCCTATCTAACATTCAAAACTACCCCCCCCATTAGAACGTACTCGTTCCAAAGCCACCTAGGGCTCCCAACTCAAATTCTCCCACAAAATCCACCCGTCCCTCCTCTAACCCCATAAGTATTTCCACCCCCCCCTCCTGCTCATTAGCTCCCCCCCCCCACCCCCCCCTAACTCACACCAAGAAACCCTCCACCTCCCACTCCCCCTCGTCCACCACCCTACTCAGCCTGGCCCCACCCAAACCCATCACCAAAAACCCATCCTCCTTACAAACCCCTCCCCGTCCAACTCCAAGAACCACCCCGCCTCTCCATCTCCTCCTCCCCCCCCCCGCCTTCCCCTAACCCCTCTTTCTCTAAACACTAGGAATGCACAGGGTCTCTGCTTCGCAGGCCCACTAGGCAGTCCTAGTTAGAGGAGAGACCCGGCTGGGGCCCTGTCATAAGCCACCTGTGCCATTCCCTTATGATAACACAAAGAATACATAACAGAAAAACATCTGGATTAAATCAGTCTAATCAGGAAAATCTAATTCTTGTTCCGTGTAATAATCTACATGCCGACCTACAACCGCTGAGCCACGAAAACTTTTTGAAACTTGCTATGCTAAATGTCAGATCTCTTTGATAACCAGTCCGTTTTTAATCATTCATTTTACACTTTTGTTATTCTATATAAGCTAAGATCTTATGTTCATAGGGCCTGAAACATGGCTCTGACAAAATACAGAAAAATGCAAGTTTAATAGAACGGCATCACCACCCAAATTTCTCAAATTTGAATCTGAAATACGGGAAAACAAAAAAGGAGGAGGCTTAGCTGCATTTTCAGAGACCACTTTGCTCCCATAAATCTGTCTCTCTGGGAAGTTTCCGCTTTTAGAATATGTGTCGTTTTAACATAACAACAAAACAATCTCCTCCAATACTTTTCGTTGTCCTATACAAGCCGGATACCGCAGACATGTCACAGTTTTATTGATAATTTTAACAGAGTTGGGCTTCAGTTGATGCACAGATATTGATATTATCAGTTATTACAGGTGCATTTTAATATTCATCTGTGGTTTAATGTTGAAGACAGTAATGCTAAAGAGCTGAGTTTCTCATTCCTTGAAACTTTTGGTCTCACTCAGCAGTAGTGGCCCCACCCACAGCAAAGGCACACGCCTAGGACCGGTTAGTTACAAAGGGGGGGCGAACAATTTATAATGAAACGTGGTCGATGTTGCGCTTTCGGATCATTGTTGTATATTTTTTGACATGTGCTTTCACCTTAACACACCACCATGTGGACTCCTGCAACTGTTACGAAGAAGGACACATAAATGAAAATACGGGTGAACTATTTA